CACAGAGGAATTATACCAGAAAGATTTGGATGTCCCAGACAACCCAGATAGTGTAGCTTGCTGACCTTGAGCCAGACATCCTGGAGAATGAAGTCAAATGGGCTTCAAAAAGAATGGCTAACAACAAGGCCAGTGAAGGTGATGGCATTCCAGTTGAACTATTTTCAAGATGACGCTGTTAAAGTGCTACACTCAATATGCCAGCAAGTTTGGAAAACTCAGCAGTGGCCAGAGGATTGGAGAAAATCAGTTTACATCTCAATCCCAAAGAAGGGCATTCTGCTAAAGAATGCTCCAACTACCGTACAACTGCACTCATTTCACACACTAGCAAGGTTATGCTTAAAATCCTACAAGGTAGGCTTCAGCAGTATGTGGACCGAGAACTCCCGGAAGTACAAGATGGATTTCAAAGGGGCAGAGGAAACAGAGAAGACAGTGGAAGGCAGGAGGCATGGAAGACCAGAGTCTGCCGTGCTCTGGTCCATGGGATCACGAAGAGTCGGACAAGACTTAATGACTAAACAACAACATAAGGGTGCAGAGCTTCACATTCCTTGTTCCCCACTAGAATTTACTCAGGGATAAAGTTCTAGTATTACAGAACCAGATGTCAAGCGGGTGAACAATTACTACTGCACTGTCAATGAATGCACTTTAATTATGGGTTTACTAATGTACAAGAGGGCCTTCTCTGTTGTTGCTGGAACCCCCTCCTGCAGGAAGCTTGTACAAGAGGGCCTTCTCTGTTGTTGCTGCCTGACTCTGGAACCCCCTCCTGCAGGAAGCTACGTTGACCCCATCTTTGCTGTCCTTCTGCACGCAGGCAAAGACCTTTTTCTTCAGGCAGGTTTTTCCTTAATGACTGGTGGTCTGACAGCAGTTTTAAATGGACTGTTGTGCTCTGGTTTTAAATGTGTTTTAATATTGATCTTAATTATCATTTTAATATAGTAGCTGTATAATTCTTTTTAAATATTTGTATACTTACTGCTTTAGCTTTTAAATACTGTTTTAGTAATGTAAGTACCTTGGTTTCTTTTCGGGAGAAAGGCGGCATAGAAATATTTTAAATAAATAAATAATACATAAATAAAATGTTCTGTGTCTCATCTGATGGATATGCAATATGTGCAAGTAAGGTTATTATGAATTATACAACACCAACACCAATGGAAGACAATAATGCTGTTCTCCTTGAATATTTAGCTTTGTGCACAACTATTATTCTAAATTAACACATGAAAGAAAATAATTCACAGCTGCATTGTGGATGCAATGTTAGAGAACACAAAACATTGTTACATGTAACCTATGTATTAGTTATATTTCTTTTTTAAACAGATATGTAACTTACTGTAGTTGAATTCTATTGATTCCAATAAACTGAACTTCCTCAAAGGAGAGTCTTAATTCAAAAGAGACAAAAAAGTTTGAAATAGCTGTGGACTTACCAAGGACTTTTCAGGAGATGAGGAAGATTCATCATCATATGTTTCATTTATATGGTTATCCAAATCCGGTTGAGAGTGTGAATAATGAATCTGGTTCCAACTGTTCTTTTTAGACTGTTTAGGTGGCAGTGCAGGCGGTTGCCCATCTACAGGAGTCTCTTGAGAACTACATAAATATAAGAAAAAATATTTTGAAAGCTCTGAGCTTCATGTTGTTGTGATGTGCTGTCAAATCAGAACCTGACTTAGAAAAAAAGTACACTGCTTATATACTGCCCCATAGCACTTAAAAATACCCTCTAAGTGGTTTATAATTTTTAATTATGTAGGCTACATATTGCCCCCCCTCCCCCTGAGGTGGATACTCAGTTTACCAATCTCAGAAGGCCAGAAGGCTGAGTGAACCTCGAGCCTGCTACCTGAGATTTGAACCAGGTTGTGAGCAGAGTTTTGGCTGTAGTACTACAGTTTAACCACCGAGCCACAAGGCTCATAGCCACCCAATAGTTTTCCCCTCAGTTTTCTGTTCCTATTCCTACTTCTGTCACCACTCTATGCCCTGTGACCATGTTCAATGTCAATGAGCTTTTTTTTTTTTTACTTTCTCTCTCTCTTGCCATTATGAGATTTCCCCAAACTTTCCATTCCTTTTCCTCCCAAGTTCTGCAAACAGTGAAATTTTCCTAAGCCAAATGAAAACTTTCTCTTGCAGATGGATGGTGCCATTTTAATTTTAAAAGATTCCACATAAACTATGTGTTGAGACTGCTATTAGCATATAGCACCAATGGACAGTTTCAGTGAGACTGGAAGCCACTTTCACTGTCTTGACTCCTCCACAAGCTCGATTCTTTATAGCAGCAATTTGAAGTGAAACAGGACACATTCGATTCCAGAAAAACTAACCTATTTTTCACTCCATAAGACGCAGCTCTGCATAAGAAGCACCTAATTTTGGGGGGAGCAAAACAGGAAAAAACTATTCTGGCAATTTTGGCTAGGCCCGTGGGGGTGGGTGGGTGGAAGATGGATGGGAAGGGAAGGTGGCGATTTTGGCCTGCTAGGCCCATGGGGTGTGTGTGGAACATGGCTGGGAAGGTAAGGTAGCGATTTCAGCCTGCTAGGCCCGTGGGGGGTGGAAAACTGCTGGGAAAGGTCAAAACTGCCACCTTCCCTTCCCTTCCCAGCCATCTTCCACCACCATCCCCCATGGGCTTAGCAGGCTGAAATCGCCACCCCACCCCCACGTAGACCTCCGGGAGCTTACCTGACCTTCCTCCGCAGCTTTTTCCTAACTGTTGGGGCAAAAGAACTACCAAGAAGCAGCCTCTTACGTCACCTACAGTTAGAATTAAAATTGCACCCTTTTTTACCGTATTCACTCCATAAGGCGCACACACTTTCCCCCACACGTTCTTTGGAGGAAAAAGTATGTCTTATAGTCCAAAAAATACGGTATATATTTACTGATACAGAGCGTTTTAGAAGCATAATTCTCTAAAAACAGAAGGCCATTTTAATGTGAAAATGCAGGGACTTTTGTTTTTGCCAGGGACAAAAGCAACTTGCATGTTGCTCATCCCAATATATAAGAATACAATTATACTAGATACAGTACATAAAAATGCAAGTATTCCTGTATTCTATAATGTACATAGGTAAAGGTAAATGTTCCCCTTGACATTTAGTCCAGTTGTGTCTGACTCTAGGGGACTATGCTCATCACCCATTTCCAAGCTGTAGAGCCAGCACTTTGTCCATAGACAGTTTCCGTGGTCACATGGACAGCACGACTAGACATGGAACGCTGTTACCATCCCACCATGGTGGTACCTATTTATCTACTCATATTTACATGTCAGTCCTAATACAGTTGGAACCCACCCTCACAGACATATTTTCTCTAGGACAAAGTACTCTGCTCATAATGCCTCCAAATTAGGTCATATAATAAAAACTGGTGTCAATACAGAGCATCCTGGGTTTTTTGTTTTGTTGGGGCACTTGTTTTTGTTTCTTGGAAATTAGAATTCTGCATGTTATTTTTTGGGGGTAAATAATTCCACTTAGAAAACTCATTATCTTTTTTAAAAAAATCTTCTTTCTCCCCATATCACTTGGTTCCAACTCCTCTATCATGTACTCGCTCGTTCGTTTAGTCGTGTCTGACTCTTCGTGACCCCATGGACCAGAGCACGTCAGGCCCTCCTATCTTCCACTGCCTCCCGGAGTTGTGTCAAATTCATGTAAGTTGCTTCGCAGACACGGTCCAGCCATCTCATCCTCTGTCATCCCCTTCTCCTTTTGCCATCACTTTCCTAACATCAAGGTCTTTTCCAAGGAGTCTTCACTTCTCATGAGATGGCCAAAGTACTGGAGCCTCAGCTTCAGGATCTGTCCTTCCAGTGAGCACTCAGGGTTGATTTCCTTTAGAATTGATAGGTTTGTTCTCCTTGCAGTCCAGGGGACTCTCAAGAGCCTCCTCCAGCACCACAATTCAAAGGCATCAATTCTTCGGCGGTCAGCTTTCTTTATGGTCCAGCTCTCACTTCCATGCATCACGACAGGAAAAACCATAGCTTTGACTACTCGGACTTTTGCTGGCAAGGTGATGTCTCTGCCTTTTAAGATGCTGTCATGGTTTGTCATCGCTTTCCTCCCAAGAAACAGGTGTCTTTTAATTTCGTGGCTGCTGTCTCCATCTGCAGTGATCATCGAGCCCAGGAAAATAAAATCTGTCACTGCCTCCATATCTTCCCCT